TATGCCATTAACCGGTGGAGAAGGGGGGTATTACGGAGTGACGTAATAAACTGCAAAACGTAGCTCATACGGAAGATTCGGAACGTGTTAAAGATTCGTTTGGAATAAATCTCCCTTCCTTCGTTTAATCTAATCTTTAGTACTTCGGTGAGTTTGCTCGATAAATATCTTTACACTAAATTACAAACAGAGTAATAAAATCACAGATGTATACCCTACTTTAAATGTTCTTGCGGTATTTTCGACTTATCTTAACGTAATTGCCTACGTAAACATTAAATAAACCTAATATTATACGACTTACAACATAAAATTAGATTACAAACAACTGCGCTACAATCTACCCTTTTAGAATAACGTGTGCCAGTCGGGCCTTGGAAGTTTACTTACAAAATTTACGCTTTACTGGGTCGAAACCTGGCCCCCCCACATACGTACGGAGGGCCGAATTACAAGAATTACAAAGGGTTTTTTATAGAAATCTTTACGCGGTTGACCTGTAAGTAGAATACTATTAATCCCGGACAAAAATCCGGACACCGTATATAAATCGCGGCTTGCGGTGAGCCAGGTGTGCATAGGATTTGGCCACGTAATACATTTTTCGGTCCACAGTCTCGAAAATCTGTACACGGTTGACCTGTATATAACTTACTGTTAATAATTTTGAAATCCCGGACAAAATCCCGGACAGCCGTATAAATCCTGAACTGCCTACTGTACGGCGAGACCGTGCACGTGACAGGTGTGCACAGGATTTGGCCACGTGATATCTTTGTTTCCAGTCCAGTCTCGACTATTTCCTTTAACTACACAAGGCTACACACAGAGTTTTGCAGAAATCCTTAGGGGTTACACAAAGAAAATTATAGTTTTACCGTTTTAAAAGAGAATTTATAAGGGGTTACATTATATATTCTATACTTTATCGGCGTTTAAATTTAAAAATTTTTATATTCCACATCCGTACACTGTTTTAAGCGGAGTTTTTTTTCATCATTATTTTAAAAATGGCGGCGACGAAAGTGGGATTACAAAATGCGATGGAGACGAGTTAAACAACAAAAATAAATTAAAATAAAATATTTGTTACATCTGTCCATGCCGTTTATCGATCGATTCATTGTGAGAAAGGTAATCGATATAAACAGAAAAATATAAACCTATCCGATGGCCGTCTGTATGTCGGAAAGATTGCAATTAAAAACCATCCTTTTTATAAAAAATTCGGGTTAGAATGGTGGCGAGAATTTCGGTTTCTTCCATACTTTCCAATGACAATTAATAACTGGCCAGAAATTCTTCTTCAGAAGCGGAATTTCTCAGGAATTTCTCAAGTTGTAATTGTTTGACCTCGTTAATAACGCCGGGACGTCGGAACTTAGAAATCGAAACTGGAATGGAACCACCCCTAAATTTCTTAGGAAGAGGCGCATTTAGAAATGTGGCGCCCCGTGTCCACGATACCAAGGCAACCCCCCAAATAAGGCCACTTTTGAACCGAACGACTATTCAGTAATAAATGTATATTTTTACGTATCGAAAGGGGAAAAAGTGCGCTGACGTCGAAAACACGAAAAATCCCTTTATTAATTGTTTATACACAGAGTTATTTCATTGTTACTGTTATCACTTTGAATCTTAGCACCTCCGGCAGAGTTACCTCCATTAGGACCACTAAACCGAGCCTACTGGGTAATCCGCCGGTTTCGTATTCTTTACGTTTTACCCGTTAGACGGGGGCATAAATGGAAACACAGTAAACACACATCGGTGTATATCGGTAGGGTGGAGCCGATCGTCCCCTAGAGTTCGATCGACCGACCAACGACTGGATAGCAGAAACACGCAAAACATCTTAAGTGTAAATATCTTTCTGCTTTTTCTGTTTAAGATGTTTTCGGTGCTGAGCCACATAAAACATTCTTCGACTATTTTTGTCTACGTCCAGGCATTAAAAAAAAGAAGAAGAAGAAGAAGAAAGCACCGTCCCTTCTAAAGTTGGAGCACAAGAGAATACAGAAAACGCGCGGAAATATACACAAGATGGTATACAGAAAATACACAAGAATTCTGTTAGAAGTATGTTTGGGAATTCCAGCTATATGTATTGTGCATACGGGTCGGGGGGAGGTCGGTCAACTGGCCGCTATTCGGAGGTTATTCGGAGGTTACCAACTGGCCGCGGTGATCATATAAAAAAACAGTCCGCGGGTGGAGTTTCCTCCGTACACGGACACAGAAATGCCAGATTATTCCGACGGTGTACGGGAATTCGTACTGTACAAAGGCGGACACAAGAGAATTCTGACAGTAATATATAGATAAAGAAATGTCACTTTACTCACAGACGGGCGATTAAATGCGGAGAGAGAGAGAGAGAGAAAGAAAAATACATTAGACAGGGAAGAAATTTTAAAATTTTTAAGCGATCGCTTAAAATTTCTTTCACGGAAATGACAATTTTAAGCGCTCTCCGAAGGAATTTCGCATTAGAAAAACACAGAGGAAGGGGGGAGGAGAAAAAAAGAAAGAAACGTTTTGCATTTTGATTTATTTCTGTCTTCGTATCGACCGGAAACGCTACATTTACTAAATAAGTAAATAATAATAAATAACCCACCAACATCGGATACATTCATTCTGGGAAAAAAAATAAATAAAAAAGAAAATCAAAATCGAAATTTTAACCGCAAGACCCCGGGAATAGAATCGAGAAGAAATGATAAATTTAATTTCATACTCACTTAAAGAATGGAAAGAAACGCCTCAGGAATTCCAATTTACGGGGGGGCAGAAAAAATATATATTATAATAATAATAATAATTCTCCCCCCCAAAAAAGTCGTCAGTACTACATTTAACCCATTTAATAAAAAAAAAAAAAATTTTAATTGCACCCTCAAGGCCGCACGATTACCATTACTTTCGGTGGTGCCCCGCGTCATAATTACTTTATTGTTTTAAAAGATTTTTTCGGAGTTCGTCCGTCGACCTGCCCGTTTCTAACCGTTAAGGAAACCTCGAGAGGGGGAAGGGAGAGACACACACACACACTCTCTCTTTTCTGACGAAATTCAATCCGTTGTTCTCTCTTGCCTGCAAACACTAAAGGCACTTTTATGCCTAGGTAAAAAGAATGAAGTAAGATATTCCGATCAATTTTTCGCTCGCTTTCCGTCTGTCGACCGTGAAGAATTTTTCTGCTGGCCGTAAAATCATAATGGGACGATCTCGAGAATGGGAGAAAATCGAGATGACATTTCGTCCCCCCTCCTCTCTTTCTTCCATTTTTTTTTTTTCCTCTAGTATTATCTAGGCAGGAAATATTTATTGTATCCGGTGTATCGAGTTTTCCACGTTCGATAAGTGGAACAATTATTATTGTAGGTAACGTAGAAATGTTCTGGTTACGCACACTTCGAATCCAACACGTGATTTCGCACGCATAAAAAACACAATATGAGCCAGCGTACACTACTATACTACCCGTTACAACACGCAGTAGTAGGGAAATTACGTGAAAAAGTAAAGAAATTAACAGAAAATATAATATACACGCATTAAACGACACCAACTCTGACAAAACACATATTGGAACACTCTACATTCCTCGTTTCGTCAACCGAAATAATCCTATTTATAAACTCTCCCGAAGCGACTAAAATTACTTTCCGGCATAATATAAATACCAGGAAAAAATAATAAATTATAATTTCGTTTATATTATTTTTTATTCGACGTGCCACAAGTAAACCGTTTACAAATTAATTATTATTATTATTAAATATTTAAAACAGGTTAGAAGATGGCACTCCTTTGACTAAAAAGAAAATGTCCGAATATGTCGAAATAAACCGTGATGCGCGTGCAAAGTCGGTCCAGGTGGCCTCTTATACTATTACAATTAAAATATATTTTATACAAGTCACGAAACGGAATAAATTTTAAATAAAGAAAGGAACAAATCTCGACCACCCCCCCATTCGATTTCTCTGTTTCTACCTCTTGGAGTTGTCGGTAAAAATCCTGATTGAAAATTAAGGAAAGGAAATCTAGAAAAACGCTGCTAGAATAAATCAATGGATAAACTAATATTTCTGGAAGCCATTCACTCGATTCCTTTGTCATAAAATAAATTTATGGCCCGCGCCGTGGGTAATTAATTATTTAAAAAAAATTATCACGTCACACGGAATTTTATTAAGTAAAATTTATTTAAAAAAAAAAAAACACGTGTGCCGTCAAGTTTCGTTTAAAGAAGTTCGATTTTTAACGCCGTCCACCACCCTCGGCTTTCGAGTGACGAATCTCGAGAGTCGATGGTTTTAAAACTTGTGTGACGAAATTTAAATTCGTTGTCGACTCCACCTCTTTATAAGTCCGTAAAATAAAAAGGGGGGGACGTTCTCCAACTTCCATCCCCCCAAAACCCTACATTCGAAGGGGCGCGGGTATTGATTTCGTTATGGTTAACGGCCCGGTTGGTTCGAAAAATTGATCCGCTTCGAATTAAATCCACTAAAACTCGGGGGGCATTTATCAGTTGGGGCGAAGTGACATTCGGATCACGAACCGGCGATTTTTATGTACAGTTTTATGTACGACCCTCTTTAGAGATTGGCAATCCCGAAAGAGGTTGGTCAGATCTCCACCCACAGTTTTAAAACCCGGTTTCCACTTCCGTTTCCAGGCGGGGGGTAAGAAAAACACGTCCTTTCAACCTTCACCGAACATAATTCCTCAACTATTTTAGCCCATAATCTTGGCTAATGGGCAATTATCCTAAAGTTAATGGTCCCCAGACAAAAATAAGCCGAAACGGCGGAGCTCTAACGTAATTAGAACTATAAATCCCCCTCACATCTATGGCAACTCGTGGATATGTGGGTCAAGGAGATGAGTTCTCGAACGATCCCGAACGGGGTCTAATTACAAATATTTTAATCTTAAAAGAAAAAAGAATAAAAAGAAGAAGAAGAATAAAGGGCGTTACTTACAGATAAATGGTATCCCGTGGCATTTCTTCTAAAAGAAAATCCCCGACGGAAGTGACGTCGGTCATGGCACAAGTGATGCGTTGTCCCAATTTGATCCTGTCCGGAGTCCGCGACTTGATGGGTCCACATTTGCAAACGGAGGGGCAAGCCACCACCTCGTACGACAGCGTAGACACAAAAACGGCGTATGCCAACGCGTAGAAGGCGCCCATATTCACGTCGAACGCGTAGAGGGGTCAGGTATTAAACATGGATTTCGGGCGCACACGGTTTCCCGTTAATCGACGCACGCAAACAAAAGACTCGCCGGTGAGTTCACGGTGTCAAGGTTGAAAATCTGGTCCGAATCAATTATTCAAAATAAAACACACATACACACACAAACCTGTATGACGTCGGAGGAGAAAAAAGGAAGCCGGTGTTCAGAAACGTCGGTGCAAAAAGTTTCTTGCCATGGCCCGCCGTCGTTTTGTCAACAAAGGTTCTTAACCTTGCAGAAAAGAATTTTTTGTTTGTGTGTTACATCGTTTGTTGGCTGATAGTTGGCTCCCAGTCTATTGTCCGACATTATCCACTTCACACTCGGATATCTTATCAGGTGTTACGAAACAGATACATCACGGACGATCTCAGATAAAGTATATTAGTCCTACGTCGAACGTTAACGTCACGACCAGCAACTCGCACGACGCATTCTCTGCCATCTTGGCTCTCGGAAGCACTTCACTCTCCCTTTATCTGATTGGCTCCCGACCGTTCGCGGCCACAGGCATTACGCTATTGGAGCCAAATATATATATTCGCACGTGAACTTTTCGACTCTGCCTTCCCTTTTTTTCACGCGCAAATAAATAAATAAATAAAATGTGGCCCCCTCCTTCTCGCCCCCGTATAAAAAAACCAACGTAAACAATTAATTATATTACTATTAACACACATTAAACTTCTCGTGTTTATTACAATTAAAATAACCTAATCACGTGTGTGTGTGTGTGTGTAGGCGTGTATCCGTCCTTACCTCTATTAAAGTACGCTTATATACGCAAGTTTGCGCGTTGTATAACTTATTTACGGCGCGTTACGCGACTACCTTCGTATACAAGCCGTGGCGTAGTCTATACGTGTGTAAACGAATACGGAGGCGTGCTTAACTACAATTTTTAAGGGAATCAATGCGTTACATTAAACACCAGAAAGGATGTTACGATACACTCGACCGACACACTATATTTAGCAACGTCATTTAGTTATTCATTGCTCTAATACGTCAATGTCGATTACTTGCGAGCGAAGTAGTGTCTACCGCAAAACTAACTTCTGTAAACTGTAGTGTACTCCGAACAATTGGATTTATCGAATTTATCTGTATTAAAATTCTTACTCGGTATTGTCATTTGCATTATAAGATTTTTCGGTCCCGTTACGTATGGTTAGTCACGGAAAGTTCGTAGATACTAAGTACAAACGAGCCCTATTGATCCGTATTATTACGAATCCTTGCAGTACACGACTCTATTTTTTTTCTAATTCTTTCGGCCTTCTAACTTAATTAACACGTGTTAGAAACCTTCGGGCATGTGAATTTAAAAGTTTATTTTTTAATTAATTCTACCCTTTTTCGTTTATACCGAAAACACGATTTAATTTTTTCCTTCTCTCTCCCTCCCTCTGCAATAACAATGGAGACGTCAGGAGGAAGATCTCTTTTTTTATTATTTTTTTTTCGGCTTTCGCATTTCTATTCTACATTTCTGCACAAACCGATAATATAATGTTTATTTTAATCTTCCTCCCGAATTTTTTTTTGTCCATAAACACAACAAACAATTAAAAAAAAATGCAAATATAACTCTGGTAAAGACTCAATTAAGCGGCCATTTTGAGACGACGTACCACGTTTTAATCCCCCTTTCTTTATTTTAATAATTTAAATATTATTTCGTCGGCATGGAATATAATTTAAGAAGAAAAAAACAAAGGATAATTTCCCTATTTACTCGGTTAATGTAAAATATGTCTTTCCACTTTAATATTTACATTATAATACGGGAGAGAAGGGAAGTAAAACGGACATTAATCATCCCCGGCTCACCTAATGAATATTCATAAACCGATTGTTCCTTTTGTGAAAACACAAATGTTTAATATTGTTTCTTACCAAAGGATCATTCTTTAAGTTATTAACTATCACGTCACAATCTGGAAAACACAGGGAATTCTAACAATACAAATCGTCGTGTATCATTAACCCGAAACGATTAAAAAGTAAACACATGAAAAATGATAAAGTAACTTTAATGATCCTCGGAGGAAAGAAAAAGGTAACGAGCTGAAACTTTTTCCCTCTTATTTTTTCTTGTATTAAGTCTTATTCTCCTCTTATCTTTATCCCCCCCGCGGCTAACTTCTCGTGTTGAATCACGTGTTTCCGAAGCGAAAAGGGGCCCCTTTCCGCCATCTGGTGCGTGTAACGGGAAAGTCGATTAGGCCCAATCTCGCGCGCAAACTTTGCCGGCGAGGTGGAATTTTTCGTAACACGGAAACACACCATTCGCTTGATCATAGTAAAATGTCAACTCCGTTACCGGATGGGAAACGATCAATTTGTTAAATTATCAATCTTGCCGATCCGGCGAAACAAGCTTTAATATTAAAATAATTTCCGACTTATTCGGGTTTAAACCGGTAAATAAGGCTAACACGTCATCTTATCTCTCGTGTTATACCAAATGCCAAACTTTACAAGAGGGGGGAATAAAGTACAGGAGGTAAAAAGAGAGAGCCGAGCTGTGATTTATGAACTCTTAACCTCGTTTTTTTTCGTATTTTGCATGATAAATATCTGTCGTTTAGCGTGAAAAACCCCGAAATAAAAAAAAAACGCCCAACCCTCGTCTCTACCGTTTAAAATATACGAGAACCGATCCCGCGCCTTTCGTGTTACGCGTAACTGCGCGTAACACGCTTACCGGATTTGCGCGTAAAAGCAAAAGTTCTCGCATTAAATCCGAGCTCTGGTATACGAACCCGAAAGGGGTGGGTTCGGTCCTCGTGTTTTAATCTACAGCCAGATAAAACACTACTGGACTCGAGCGCGATAACATTTGTTTATTTACACGGAAGACATTTATTTGAAGTGTTTTTATAAATATTTACAAGTGTTTAAGTAATATTTATATAAGAAATTTAATCAAAAAGAAAGTATTAATGCATCATCATCCCCAGAAGGACTAAAATGCATTTTGTTTAGTCCCTTTGATGGACGTGCGTGCGGTTGTTTTTTCTATTTTTTTTGTAGTGTATCCGCCATTCCCAAGTCGCAGAACTTCTCTGCGAGATTATTAAAATGCCTCAAAGGAGGGGGGGAAACATTAATTTTTTAAACAGAAAAATTAAATACCAGACTTTAGATTGCATTTGTTCCTTAAGTACCAACGAATTGTTCGTTCGAATATTTAAAAAAAACGAGGAAATCAATGCGGCATTTAGACTGGTTTAAGTACAAAGTTTTTACGGTTCCTACTTTAAAAAATAACGAAGAAAAATTATATTTTTGGCCGTTTTTCGGGGGTGGAGTAGGATTTTGTGCAAAAACGTTTGTGTAAAATATATATATATATATTGTTACACCCGTGTTTAAATTTCTGTTCTTAGTGAAGGTGAGGCGAATTGTTTCGCGTGATTTTTCTCTTTTCCAATACGGTCGAATCTGTAAACGACGGACACTGAAGAGAGCTTATAACGTGGCCGTTGTTCGGAGGTTAATTCGGGAGGAGGGGAAGAGACGATTAACGTTTAGAGGGTCTATTGTTTGGAGGTTGGACGACGTTAAGAGGTGAGACGGCCGCTATAGGAGGCTCGACTATGCAAAATTACACTTTAAAAAACTGTAAAAGAATAAAACCGCGATCAAAAATTAAGTAAAAAGGGAAGTGTCAACATCCCTCTTAACAAATTTCACTTCCTTTCGCACGTGAAGATTTGCATTTTACCAACTTAGAAATTCGTGATTCTGTTTAAAAACAAACTTTAAAAGTTATTCCGTTAATTAAGTTACTTCGAATTTTTAATTAATAAAAACTTTTTTATCCCTTTTACCTTATTCTTTTTATTATTTTATTTAATGCCTAATGAAAAATTCAGGCCTCGTTTATCAATCAACCCCAACATCACGAGTCGCGTGACTATTCAAGTATCGGCGATAAACCCACACTTTAAACACTAAAAAAAACATAATAAATAAACAGAAATTTCTCTATTTATTCCAGGTTTTTTCACTCCTTTTTTAAAAAGAAATATAATGAATTCATTGACGAAAGTGAAATTAAAAAAAAGGGGGAAAGGAAGAGGAAGAGGAGGAGGAAAAGAAGGAGAAATTTTCCGAGATACGTCATCGACTTTCCTTTTTTTCTTTGTGTCGTATTCCCTCAGGTGAAATTAAACTTTCTTATCTGAGTTTATTTTAATCCGGATTTAGATGGATGCAAGTTATTCTTATTATTGACTCTCTGGTGTTCTTCGTTTGCCAAGTATCTAAATTAATTGAACGGTTTGAATGGCATCGATTCAATTTATAAAGTATTAAAGTTTGATAAATAAGAAAGGAGGTGGGGAAGAAGGGGAAGGAAGAAAAAAAAAGAAGGAAAAAGTTATCAACGCTCTTTCGATCTGCAGTTAAGCAAATAAAGAGTTTGGCTTGGCTAAGATAACAATACGAAGCGAGAACCTTTACTCGCTGGATCTAAAATCAATCTTATTGAACGAAGTTTTGCCGACAGCTGTGATAAATGGTGAAGAGCACATTTCCAAGATGTAGGCCTTTATCCGTTAAATTATATCTTTATCTGCCAGACAACTATACCTTCGTGTAAACACAACCTCTATAAAACGTTATAATTTCCCGCTTTCTCCGTCCGTCTCCATTAAAACGAGGAAGGCGCTCGTCTGAATAAATATCCCGGCGCGAAATCTTCCCCTCCCCCCCCAAAAAAGATGAACTTTCTAAAATTTAATTTAGTTTAATTAAGATGAGCGAGTTTCGAAACACTTCGATTAAATTTTGGTGTATTTTTTCCTCCTGTTTTCATACAGCCAGAGGTGTACTATGCTCCTGTATTTGTGTACCCGAACTTGTGGGCCTAAGCTGTGAGGCGTAAGAGGTTCTTTCTCTCTAACCGATAACGATACATACGAAAATGTGAGGCCCCGAGCTATAGATTAATAACGCCAGGCCCTAATGCGTAGCTCGTATAGCTTAGGTATTCCGCATTGTTTTGTATGCACGTATTTTCTGGGCTTTTTTAATCTGTTTAATGGGCTAAAATAATTCATTTCTGTCGATGAAATGTAATTTATTTTGTATATTTGAATGGGGAAACGTCCGGAAAATGAAATGTATTAAGTGGAAGGAAGTAGAACAATCAACAGAAAGGAACGGGTTCCGAGTAACAGAGACATTTCTTAAGATCTATGACGTGTAGAGATCAATGAATCGAGCTTACAAAGATGAAAAATAGCATGGGAATAATAATTATATATGTATAACCATATTTAGCGGTTCGTGCCCGAAAGAATGATTTTTCTATCCAAAACTTCTAGCAGCCGATACATATTCCAGGTGTTTAGAGACGTCACCCGCTCTACAAACGTGAGACAAATACGTAATAATACAGCCGGAATGAAGAATTAAAAGGAATTTCTCTAATTATCTTATTATGGATATTTATAATCAATGGTAAGAGGACGTTCAGGTATTTCCTTGTAGAATGCCATAAAGGTAGACCATCGACACGGAGATCGTTCGTACTTAATTA